TACAGTGTCCCCTTCATTTTCTTCAAAAGTAAGGAATTGAGATCTATCACAAGTCATGTGTCTTGAACAGCCACTAAGTACTATTGCTCTTACTCTTCTTTTTTGTTTCTTTTTTCCTTGAGGTATTCCTGCAAACACAAGCTTAGAAGATTGGCTTTGGTACCCGAATTTTCTTGGGTCCATGAGTGTTAGTCAAGGTTGGTTTAAATCCTTTTGGAACCTATATCCATTTAGATCCATTTGGTGCAGCCATTTTATAAAGCACCTAGAAACATGATAGCCTTTCCTACAACAATAGTGGCATGTTATGGTATATCCCTTTTGGAGTTCTGGATTTTCCACCTTGATTTTGAAAGCTAGTAGATGGATCATGATGAGCTTTCACAAATTTGGTGGTATATGTGTTTGATTCACCTGATCCCTTATACCCAATACTAATTTTTATGCTAGTATTCTTTTGAGCATCTAAAATAATTTGTAGTTTACAACTTCCCTCAATAAGTTTTGAAACCATATTGTTTAAAGCTCTATTTTTCTTCTCAAGCTCATTACATTTTGACATCAACATGTTTCTTACTTTTTCAAAAGATTCACTTTGAGTGTCTAAAACATTTTCAAATTTGTTTGTCATTTCTCAAGGAATTGACAATCTTGTGCAAATCATTCTTCTTGAGAGGAGCATTTCAAAACATAAGTCATCAAAAGATCTTTGTAACTCTTCCTTTTTTAGGATAGCTTCATTAAAGACATTTTGTAAATCTTCTTTTTCATTTAAAAGAGGAGAAATGGTCTTTTTGAGGCTAGCATTTTTTGCACTCATTTTTCTAGATTCCTCATAGAGTTCATCAAATGCATCTTGTAACTCTTCTAAAGAATTAAATTCATCATTAGGTATAGATTGAGAGCTTACCTCTTAAGTGTCTTCTTCTCTAGCCATGAGACATAAGTTTGCCACTTCAAAATCAACAAACTCGTCGTCTAAGCTATCATCAATCCAAGTGGTCACCAAGGCTTTGTTACTCTTTTTGCCCTTTGCTTTGAGACTCTTTTTATTGCAAAAGGATAGTCGAACTTCACATGTCTAGGCTATTTACAACAATAGCATTTGATTTGTGTCCTTCTTATTAGAATCCCCCTTGTATTTATCACTTCTATTGTTCCCTTTTAGGCATCCTTGCTCCTTGAAACTTTCTTTCTTCAGAAATCTTTTAAATTTCTTGGTGAGCATTGCAATATCCTCATCTGAGTCACCTTCCTCTTCGCTTTCACTATGTTGAATGGCTTTAAGTGCAATGGTCTTTTTCTTTGTATTTTCCTCCTCACTAACATAGTCTTTCATAGCCATCTCATGAGTGAGAAGTTTCCCTTGAAGCACTTTAGTTGTCATATAACTCAAGTTATGAACTTCTTTGCTGGTCGTATGGATGTTGCTCCAAGCCTTGGAGAGTGATCTTAAGATCTTTCTCACCTTTTCCTCTTTCAAGTATACCTTATCAAAATAAACAAGCTCCTTAGTGATTTTTGTGAATCGAGTAAATATAGACTTAATATCTTCATTTGGATTCATTTTGAATAATTCATATTGTTGGACAAGTCTATTCATTTTGCTCTTTTGTGCTTCATTAGTGCCTTCATGAGCAACTTCCAACTTGTCCAAATTTCCTTGGCACCCACATAAGCATTGATGTGGTCAAACTCAGATGGGTCTAAAGCACAGTATAATGCAGTTATAGCCTTGGCATTTAACTATATTTTTTCTTTATCATTTTTGTCAAATTCTTCAAGTTTCTTAGGGATCATCTCTTTCGAGTCTTCACTCTTTCTCTTCATTGGAACATGGGGGCCATCCTGAACTACCTCCTACATAAGGTAATTCGAACCTTACATATAAACCCTCATCCTATTCTTCTAATAGGCATAGTTTGTTCCATTGAAGAAAGGAGGACGAGTGCTTGATTGTCCTTCAGAAAACAAGAAGTTTTGAGTTGCCATGATCCAAACTCAATAAAATGATTTAAGATTTAAAATCAAAACTTTGAGTCAAGGCTCTAATACCAATTGTTGGCCCATATGGAAACTCAAGAAGGGTGAATTGGGTTTAAAAAACCTTATGCAATTTTCAAAATAAAGTAATGATTAAGCACACATAATCCATAAGCTATTGTAAATTGCAAGAATTAAAAGAGTAGGATAAGAAATATCAAACGTTTCAATTTATCTTAGTTTGTCACCTTCTTTGGTGCCTACGTCCAATCCCCGAGTTTTCTACTCTCGAGATTTAATCCACTAACACTACCTTCAACGAGTGTTAGTGAAATTGATTACAATAGCTTGCTAGTTTTATCAACTGTTTAAATCCCTTATTACAAATCTCTCAACTCGTCTTATACCTCAAGAATGGATTCCTAGATCTAACAAGGTTTCCCTAATCCCTCTCTCAGTTGTTACAATGAAAGAAAACAAGAAAACAAGAAAATAAGAGATTTCATAAAACACAAAGCAAAAAATTTGTCACTCTTGGTTTTTTCAACTTGAAAGCTCTTCTCCTTGTGCTTCTCCTCTTTTCTAGATCTGGTATTATAGCTTGAAAGTGCTCAATTAGTGTGTTTTACCATTGGAACTCCTTTTTGAAATGAATATATTTCAAATATTGTAGGTAAATTAATGTTCTAGCACAAGTGGTTGGAACCTGGAGCATTTCTTGCATAAACACTTCAAAAAACAGAATTATCAAGGGTTCCAAACCATGTTCTAGGGGTTGGAACCTCAACTATAGAATGCACTTTCCGTTTTTGGCTCCTCATAATAAGGAAATATAATCATGCAATTAAATGAAATTTCACCAAAAAAAA